AGCCAGAATTAAAGCATAATGGAACACAAGGAGTTAAATTTATCTGGTCCATTAAAAGGAGAGGCATGTGTTTGTGTTTTGGAAATTTCTGAACAGATTGAGGCCTGGAAGATATTGTGAAACTGAATTCTAAGAATAAAGATATTTTTATTATTAAAGTAGGATTTATTGAAGGAGGAAAATATTGAAGGCAGTGGTTGCATGAAATAAAGCTTTAATCTTCCCAGAATGGATGGGGGAGTCCCCCCAGGAGCAGAGTGTACAGGCGCCAAAGCCAAATTAAGTAGTGAGGATTAAGGGTGGGGGCCTGGGAGACAAGCAGGGGCAACTGCCCTGTGTAGGAGGAGGGAGATCCCAGGGGCTGCCAAGTTGGGACTTGACTGAGGAAAAGATTGTGAAGATAGATGATTTCTCTCTATAGGCTGGGCAAAAAAATGCACATATCTGGGCCTTGAGGTTTCACACTTGAAAAATGCTTTGCTTGTAACCTCTCTTAATCACAACCTGCATATTTCAAGAGTACCTTCCTCTTAAGATTAAATAAATGTAAATAGGGGAGATGGTTCTTAGCAAACACACATTTATAACTAGCCTAGCTCTAGGGCACAATAAGACCACATTGCTCTTGTATTCATGTCACCAGGTTCTATTACTCTTTCACTGCCTGGTTATGTGACAGCCTTTGTGAATTTCGAGGCATATTTTCTGTAACACTGCTTTTTTATTATCCCAGCACCACTGCTAATAATTCTCAGACTATTCTTTCTGAAATTAATAGCACAGCACTGTAGTGTTTGGCCCTGTGGGGAAGGAAAACATTTTACTTAACCCTTTGAGGTTCTCTGGTTGTGTCTGAAAATTAAACTGACAAAGATTAACAGGAGAAAAGTGTATACATTATATAGAGTTTTTACATGTACTTTTGAGCTTTCACAAGAGAATGAAGACCTGAAGACGTGACTAGAGCAGGAAGCTTCTGTGCCTTATAGACAAATAATACATTTGTGAAGAATTGACAAGACAAAGGGATTTGGAGCAGGGGTAGTAAATGGTGAAGAAGTAACTAGGAAAATAAGGGTGAGTTAATCAGGTTTGCTTGCCAGTTTCTCTGGTGCTGTATCTGGGCTGGTAAAAGGCTATCTCCAATACAAAGGGAATCTATTTCTTGCCTTTAGACAAGAGGGATGGCTTTCCCTCCTTAATTGTCTTCAGCTCAGAATAATTTTTATGTCAAAGAGGCTTATTTTGGGGTGACATATGCTAGTTTCCTTCAGCCTTCGTTTTATTTTATTATATCTAACTCCTAGAAAAATAGTGTTTTGGACCCGATTTTTCATTAATGGCACAAGGACTATCTTTTAGTGAATGTGTTGATGATATTGTTATAAGACAAAAAACATTTTAAGTTATAATTGGCAGTAAATTTTAAAGTAAGAGGATGATACCTACCAAAATTGGATGGGGAAGTTCAAGTGCACGTAAAGAACAAAATGGTTTGTCTCCTACTAACAAAGTATGCATGGTATACTGACAAAGTTATATGGCATTACAGTATACTATAGTGGGGACAGAGCTTACATTTTACTAGATCCAGCAACTTCAAAATTGTTTCTTGACGATTATTCTTTAATTTGAAATTATTTGAATTACTTAAAATTTTCAAATAAACTAAAATGTTACTGAGATTATTACATCCAACTATTTTACATTTGCATATTTAAAACTTAGGTACGATCTGATAGCAGTACACTGTAATAGGCAACGACAATTAGAAACTGAGTAAACCCAAGTTTCATGCAAAGGCACGTGGTTCTAAATCAATGTCAGAGTTTGAATTGAGAAGAGTAGAGAATTTTTTAATCATCTCTCTGTCTTCTCCTTTGATCTTTAGTAGCTAGTTTATCTTTCCCTATCTGCATCCCCCACAGCGGAGCCCCTTTCCCAGTAGCTACATCCATTCATAATATTTATTGATCTATTATTATGGTTCTACTTCTTTTACTCAACCACCAGACCCCTGATCCTTCTAAATGTATTCTGATGCTTTGCATTTTTAAATTGAGGAATCCCATGCACACAGAAAGCTTGCCATAGAAAGATATTGACTAGAGAGCAACCTTTCTGTCAGATTCAGCAGCCAGCCAACCAACTAACCTAACCATGGTCTCCAGGCCTGAAAATGAGACATGCCCCTTGCTGCAATTCCAAATGTATTTCGTCATTAGTGTTTCTGGGATTCTGGTGGTTCACAGGTGGTTTTGAAAATGACTGGTTGTCTAGTTAGCTTAGGATGCCATAACAAAGTACCAGATGCTGGGTGCCTTAAACAATGGAAATGTATTTCTCACAGTTCTTGAGTCTGGGAAGTGCAAGATAAAAGGGTTAGCAGATTTGGTTTCTGTCAAAGGCTCTCTCCCTGGCTTGCAAACAGCTACCTTCTCACTGTTTCTTCACATAGTAGAGAGACAGAGCACTGGTGTCTCTTCCTCCTCTTATAAGGTCACTAATCCCATCATTGGGGCCCCACCCTCATTACTTCATCTAAACCTAATCAACCCCCAAAGGACCCCACCTCCAAACACCATCATTTTAGGAGTTAGGACTTTCACACATGAATTTGGGGGGATGTAAACATTCAGGCCTTTGAAATGTATGCTTAAGGAGATTTTTGAAAAGCATAAAGTGATTTGCAAGTTTAAGGTATTTTTATTAGTGCTTGTTACATTTTTTTATTGGCAAGTTTTTTTAACATTTCCCCTGTGCCTTGGTTTCTAAGGAAACCAAATTTTTTCTGAGCAATGTTCAGAAAAATGAAGACCCGATGCAATTTGAAATTTAATAAGGGAAATACCAAATGTGCAGAGAATTGGGACTCTGTGGCAATACATACCACAGCAGTATCTTACACTTCAATTCTGAAGCTTCAAATCTTATTGCATTGCTGCCCTATTGCCGTGCAAATATTATTATTCAATAGAATCTATTAACACCTTATATATCACATAGCAGAAGAGGGAACTTTGAGAGAATAGGAATCAGGAAAGATCAGTTTTGAGGGAGAGAGAGGACCTGGCAGTGTGGGTCGTGCAGTACTCAGGGTGTGGATGGGGGTGAGGAGAGGGTGAGCAGTCTTCCCTGAGGTCCTCCAGCAGCCTTCATAGCAGAGGACGTGAGTGGCAGGCAGACTAGTGGTAAGAAAGCAGTGGAATACTAGGTTACTGTGCCATTACTGGAGGGTGGGCTGATGCTAAAGGATGAGGAGGGGCACTGGTAAAACAGACTTCCCTCCCTCATAGCTAATGCTGCCTTAACTGGTACCAACCACGCACAGTAGCTGGCATATAATGGGCACCCAGTAAGTGTTGAATGTATAGTCAAACAAAGGATTAAGTCAAGCGAATGTATATAGTCACCCTGCCCCTGGGAGCAGTACATCTCCTGTCCTACATCCTCAAGTTCTGCAAAGTTTCAGGCATTGAAACTTATTGGAGGAAGGTTCTAGAAAAGTGAACACTGGCAAGATTGTGGTGTCAGTTGCTGAGAGGGGATATTTTGGGATTTTGGTTTACCTAAGGAGGGATCATTTAGACAACATGGTCATGAAAATGTAGTTTCTCCCCAGTTGTTTCAATTTCTTATCACCCTTTGAATTGCTTTTTATTTCTCCTGAGCATCTTTCCTTTTTCATCTAGATTGCTCAGTTTGCTTTGGAAACAAGACATTATCCAAGTGCAATATCACTTGGGATGAACATAGATAACATGTAGGCCTTTTATTGCTGCAATTGTGTTTATGTATCGGTGGTTTAGTTACTGTATATTAATTGCCATGACTTGCAGAAAATGAATCGCAGCCTTGAGTGTTTGTGAATGTGTGTATGGTATGGCCAGGGCGTGCTTTTACTCTGTTAAAGCTGTAAAAGTTGTTTATGAAACTGTTTTATGCCCTTAATATTTCAAATAAACCTCTTTTTCATTTTGTTTTTGGAAAATTTGTTTTTTTGTAGAAAAAAAAAAAAGTGTTAACATATCCCTTGAAGTTAATTTCTAAGATGCTTAATTGTTTGAAAGAAGCAGTTTTCTCAGCGAAGTATATATTCTAAGAAATGGAAGGCTAAGGTGTTAGTTGTTTCTATTCAGAATTATACAGTTCTGTTACTTTGTTAAACTCAGAGTAGCATCAGATATCAAAATGGAAAGATCTATAGAGGTTGTACACCAGGCTTTTTGACCTTTTTCAAAAAAGGCCTTTCTTTGTCTAGGCCCCTTTTTGATAAATATGAAAAAATATATATTTAATGCAACCTGAAAGTCAAAGCAAATTAAAATAAAATATCGTCACCCTAAACCAAAGCAAAGGAGTATAATAGAGGGTAATTTTCTTTCTTTTTTTGTAAATCACATGTGGCTTTCAGGTTCTGATGCTTCCAAAAACACGCCCTAACCTGCGTTAGAAATAGTTGACTAGATCAATCTCCTCATTTTACAGATAAAAAGACTGAGGTTTAAAGACTCAAGGAATACTCAACGCACTCAGCATATTAGGAGCATAGCTCAGTCAAACCTCAGACATCCTGTTGGCTGCTCAATGCTTTGCTCACAGCATCCCCAGCCTGCGTCTTTTAAGGATACTTTCTGAGCAAAGGAGGCATCTTAGCCAGTATCATCTTGTGTATCTGATGATGCTGACTTTACATTGTCACAGCAGCAAGGAGGCAGAAGCCAGGAGAGACCTGTCAAGCCTGGCTAGTCTATGGGTCCTGGCTTATTTTCATTCCCTTTTTTTCATTCCAAACATTTGTACCACCATGACATAGAAACACTTCCTTGGTAGAGCTTCTAGGGAATAGGTGGGGCAAAATCTAACTCTGAAAATAGGTTAGTTTATGAAATAAAATTTGTGTCTTTTGCCATATTGACAGCTCTTATTTGTGGTTTTCCCTGAGTAATTCAACAGATCTTCTCAAACTTCTCATTTGTTCTTTTTTTTTTTTTTAACAGTGTATCCGGTGGAGAGTTGTTTGATCGGATAGTGGAGAAGGGATTTTACACAGAAAAAGATGCTAGCACTCTGATCCGCCAGGTCTTGGATGCTGTCTACTACCTCCATAGAATGGGCATCGTCCACAGGGACCTCAAGGTGAGGCCGTCGCTTAGCCACATCCCCCACCTGCTCTCCAACCCGTAACACACCTGTCCGAGAGGACTGGCTCCAGAGGAGGGGTGGGGTTTCCTTAATGTAGTTATGGGTGGAATGAACGGTGGGCGTAATGAATGGTGGGCGTTTGTGACTCAGAAGTAGCTTGAAAGAAGCTGAAGATCGCTGGGGCTGGCCATTGTCTGGGAGGTTTCGTAATCATTATGCTGCCAAAGGGCCACCAAGAGGTAGGTTATGTATTGATTCAGGCCTACCTAAAAGGTAATTTTGTTCAAGATGCATAGGACACAAAAGCCCTTCCTTCCTCCACTGCAGATCTTCAGTCTTCTCCTTATTCCATCTCTGTTTCAGCACAACACTGTATGAAAAAGAGTGGGTAGAGGGCAGGAGGTGAAAGGGAAATGGAAGGTTATCAGGAAAGGTGGCTTAAATGAACTACAGTTACAGCCTTCTAAATGTCCTGGGTTCCTTTCTCATCTTTTCCTTGTGAGGTTTTGGCACTCCTTACCCCTCACTCAATAGCATTGAAGGATCTGTGCCATATTTGGGCACCTTGGAAACACATTTCTCCCCAGGTCTGTGTCGATACCAAAGGGTAGATAACAAACACCACTTTGAGGAACAGTCCAGTTAGCACTGCTGACCCCAGGCTGTAATGTGGCTTCATCCTCGGTCCAGCCCCCAGATTCACTGTACCTGTCCAGGCAGAAGTTCCACCCCAGCCACTCCCATCATAAACACAGGGATTATGCTATACTGAAGCCACATATATGACTACAGGAAATCCAAACCCATTTAAAGAATAAATCCTAAGCATGAGTGAAAATGGAATTTCGGCATCTCCCAGTATCTGGCACTGGGAATCAAGGTATAAGTCAGTGTAGCTTTTTCTTTTATGAGCACTCACTGTAAAGTTTTCTCTTCTCTCCATGTTACCACTTTCCATTGACTAGGGTAGTGGCTCCCAAATGTTAGTCGGTATCAGAATCATCTGGAGGGCTTGGAAAAACACAGATTATTGCCCCCCACCCCCAGGTCTGCAGCAGGGCCTGAGAACTTGCATTTATAAGGGGATTCTAGGCGATGATGATGTTGGCTTGAGAACCACTCTTGGAAAACTGCTGGATGAGAGTATTTGGGAATGTTGATCAAATCCTTACCCTTTGCCCTTTGCAGGCTTCTTGACAAGTGAAATGGGCTGTGAGCATGATGAGCTAATCTTAGGACCTGGAGATACTTCAGAGGGCTAGATAAGGGCTAGATAGAAAAGACGGCCTTGCAGGCACTTCTATGCCACTTCTCTGCGCTCTTATGCCCTCTTCAAACATTCTGTGCTTCTAGAACAGAGCAGGCAGCCATCTCTGAACAAGTTAGTGTGGCGACTATGGAGATGTGATGTGATGGCCTGGTTGTCTGTGCTTATTAGAAATCATTTCTAAGCAGATAAGACATTTCCCAGCAGGCAATGTTTATTTCCCCCATAGAAAGTCAAATTGGCTGCACGGGAGATAATATTTTTCACTCCCATATAACACTTTTGGTAAAATATTTGCAGCTTCCAACCTGTGGAGCTTTAAGATCATCCACCAGGCTTATAATTATGGAAGGAATATTTCCATTTTAGGACCTTTTTTGTGATCTCTTTTCAATAGCACAAAGGAGTTTGCTCTGTGTGGAGGAAGTTGATGTTAAATTTTCATAACCATCTGAGAAAATGAAAACAAACTGTATTATCTAGGCCACAGCAATGGAGAAGATGATCAGGTTAATTTAAAACTAAGACACAGCCCTGGCCAGGTGGTTCAGTTGATTGAAGCATTGTCCTATACACTGAAAGGTTGTGGTTTCAATTCTTGGTCAGGGCACATGCTAGGTTTCAGGTTCAGTCCCCAGTCAGGGCACATATGGGAGGCAACTGATCAGTGTTGCTCTCGCACATCAAGCCTTCTCTCTCTCTCAAATCAATAAAAAAAAAAAAATCCTCAGGTGAGGATTAAAATGAAAAAAAACAACAAAAAAAAACTAAGGCACAATCTGGGATACTGCCCCATCCCACATTTGAATATACTTCCTTCTTCCTCCAGAAAGGTTTTCTTGTATCTTCTTGCCCCAAGACACTACTAGATCCAATCAGTTGTTCTTTTTTCAAAACAAAGGACTGAGACAGGAAATGCCCACTATTGCCTCCTCACATTAGGGAAGGGCTTCTCAGCCTTGTACTAGTGACACATGGGACTGGATCATTCTTTGTGGTAGGGGCTGTCCTGTGCATTGTAGGTTGTGTAGCAGCACCCTCGGCCTCTACCCACCAGATGCCAGTACCACTCCTAGAGTTATGACAACCAAAAATACCTCTAAGCTTGCTAAATGTCCCCTAGGGGGCGCAATTAGCCCCAGTTGAGAATCATTAGATTAGGAGGATGATTGATTATGTATAACATTAACTTTACAGGAATTGTTGATTCAGATCTTTTAAAAGCTTGTCATGTGAATATTAAAAGATTGGGATTGACCTTCCAACTCACGTATTGACCACCAGTTGTCTTGCAAAGATGCCATAAAATACAGTAAGCAAACTTTTCAAATGAGTCCTGAACCTCCTAGGACCCCAGGAAGAATTGTGTGATCTCCCCCTGTCCACCATTCCTGCCTTCCACAGACTTTCTTGTTCTCCTGAGGCCTCCATCCAGATTGTCCCTGAACCTGTCCTCTCCCACTTGCTTCCCTGTCTCCCCTCCCCCAGCAGAAAGCCTTGAGCCAATTAAGGCATTGATCTTAACCATGAACGACCAGTCCACTGAATCCTTCTTAGGGATAATTGTCCTTCAAAGAGCACTTTACTCACCCAAATGACTCTTCTGTAGGAGGAATGTTTAAGAAGGTAATTTGGGGCCTTTGACCATCTCCCGCCTGGATGAAGCCTTGGTCAGGAGCAGGAGCTCACTGACTTTACAGCTGCGGAAGTGCTGGGACAAGAAATATTGTAACTCAGGAACTTAAAAACAGAATGCTTCTCTCTGCACCCATGATGGACCCTTACCGTTCATCAAAGGATAACCCCTAAACATTGAGAGAACACAAACCATGTGCACTTTTTGATTAGAGCACCCCTCCTACTTTCTAAGCATTGATCTTTTTTCAACTATTGATTGGCCCATTTTAAAACTCACCGCAAGCATATATTGATTTTCTTCTGATCTCATGCTTCATCTGCAGAATTAATGTCACAGCGACTGTTCAGTGCCATTTCTTTTTGTGTTATTATTTTGGGTAAAGGATAGAGAAAAAATTGGGGTTCTGTTAAAGAAAGGAATGATTCTGACCCTTGTTAAATGGTAAGGAAGACTTTATTCAAGTTTTGCAACAGGGAAGAGAACCCAGCTAAACTCCAAATTCAGCGGGGGGGGGGCAGGAGACTTATGGTGATTGAGCAGAGTGAGGAGTCATGGATGGAAAGTTACTAAGGGGAGACATCTAGGGTAGGGGATTCTTGCTAAAGGCAGGCCAAACACTTACACACTGGCAGGCAAGGAGACTTTGACCAAACTTGAGTTGGACACCCCTGAGCCTCCTTTCTGACTAGGCCCTGACCTTGGGCTCATCCTAAGTCCATTGGTCCTGCCTACTTAGTTCAGTCTTAGCGAAAATCCTAGTGATTTAACAGAAATTCCTGCCCTTGATATCTGATCAAATGCCTTGTCCCCGCCCTCCATGTCCAACCACCCTGGACTGCCTTCAGCAGAGCTCCTGTAGCCAGAGTCCCCTTATCCTTGATGTTCCCTCTTAGTCATTTTCCGTCCACTGACCTACCCTGTCCCTTGGCTATAAATCTCCCCTTGTCTTTACTGTATTCAGAGTTGAGGCCAGTCTCTCTCCCCTACTGCAAACTCCATTGCAGTATTCCCCCTGAATAAAGGCTCCCTAACCATCTTTAATGCATGTCTGAATAATTCTTTTTTAACAACATCGAAGGTGAGGGTTGAAGAACTTGATCAGATATCAAGAGTGAGGGATCCTCTCTAAACTGACTTAGCAGGATTCTTGCAAAGACTGGTCTGCACAGGCCCAGCAAGGACAGGAGGGACACAGAACGCCAAGGTCGAGATCTAGTCAAGAAGAGAACTTAGCCTGGCTGGTGTGGCTCAGTGGTTGAGCATTGACCCATGAGCCAGGAGGTCACGGTTCAATTCCTGGTCAGGGCACATGCCTGGGTTTCAAGCTCAGTTCTCCAGTAGGGGATGTGCAGGAGGCAGCAAATCAATGACTCTCATCATTGATGTTTCTCTCTCTCCCCCTCCCCCTATCCCTCTCCCTCTTCCTTCCTCTCTCTGAAATCTAAAAATCTGTATTTCTTTTAAAAAAAGAAGAGGGCTCAGAGGAGCCTGACTATGGTTTGGTCAAGAAAAGAGTCTTGGTCAGTTCTCAAAATTTCTCCACAACAGTGGTTGCACCCCAGAATCTCCACCATGGAGATCTAAAATCCAGAGGCCTGGGCCAACCTCAGATCCATTGAAGAACAGTATCTCCAGCCACTTAGTGCCCTCACAGCTGATTCTGCTACATAACTAGACTGAGAACCACTTTTCTAAATAAGTCAAGTCACTCTGCAAAAGAATAGTTCCTCAAATGTAATACTTAGGAACCAAAGATTCACCACAGACCACGGACAGGAGAGAATATTGCCTCACTCCTGGGGTTGGAGGAGAGCCAGACCTGAAATAGTGTGTGCAGATGAGTTCCCCAACCCACTCTTTCTGCTGCATTTCCTTAAGGTTTGGTACAAAGGAGGGACATGATAACTTTTCGCTCTGTACATCTTCAGAGTTTTCCAGTTGGGAAAATGTAACTGGATGACACCAGAGGTGGCAGTCCTTGACATTATCTCCTTCGGTAACAACATCATTAACTGAGCAACTTTTCCAAAATAGACAAAAAAACAAACATGTGAGTGCCCCAGTATTCAGGTTCTCAACCTGGCAGTGCAGGGACAGCTCTGAGGCTGTGACACCTCCCTCAGTCTCCACAAGTCCTGCCCCCTGTCTTTGCCAGAACCCTGAGATTCCCCAATTTTACATAAAATGCAAATGAGGCTTCATTGTCTCCCTGAACCCCAGGGCTGAGGCCCCTCTGCCCCTGCTAGGTGGGCACTGAAGAGCAGAGCTCTCCTGGAAACAAACTGTGCTCATACCTTGGCTGTTGAGGTGCATTACAGCTGCCTGTGCTCTGCCATGTCTGTTCCATCACAAGGAACCATCACAACTCCTGTTTTACAGCAACGCAGACAGAACCTTGGGTTTCTTAAGGATGCATGTGGCTGAGAAGTGATGGATCTTCCAACTCCATTCACTCCCTGGTGACATCCCTCTGCTTCCCAAGGAGCAGAATAAGCAGGTGTCAGCTGACCAGGAAAGGGGAAAGTGAGCACATCAGCCAGAGCTACAGACAGGGTTACCCAGGGTGGGGGAGGGACTGGTGGACTAGAGAAAAGTTGCTAACAAGGGTCTGATAAAAGAACAAAATAGCATCAGCAAAGTAATTTTATTTCTGGGTCTCCCCTTTCTCCTAACCCAGGAAATGAATCGACAGGTCTGAGAGGAATCAGCATTCTAGTGCTAATCTAAAAATAAAAGGCCTTTCAGAGTGAGAGGCAACAAGTGTTTATTTGAGACCAACCAGGATATTTGGGTATCATTAATTCAGGCAGAAGCCCAGATGGTGTTCTGATTAGGAGACAAAGGCTACGGGGTATTTATGAGAAAGGGAAGGGGAACAATTATGTCAATAGGAGGAAGGTGTTTCTGTTGGTGCAGGTAACATAACATAGTGATGTTAATTCTAATGTTTTTAATTTTCAGTCCAGTAGCCATCAGTCCAGTAGTAATAGTAACTGCTTTCTTGTTATCTTTGCATATAATTTTTTGGAAACAGTGTTTCCCTAGGCCCAGTCCAAAGGTTATTGTGCTCTGTTTGTAACATTCCAAGGCTTGAGGCATAAGACGTGCACAGCAGTTCCTCTGGGATGGCAGCTCCCACTCCATTTTAAAGTGGCTCTGTTTACGTGATTGTTTACACTGGATTGCCTCCAAATATGGTTAATTATTTTAAGTAGGGGAAATACTAATGGACATGGACTAACATTTATTGAAAACCAGTACATGCCCTCTTCTGTGCAGGGCCCTTTCTAGGCTTCATAAAAGACCACTTTTCTTAGTGTATCTAGGACGTCTGAAGGTCAAGTATACCCTTAAATAGTAAATAGATTTTGTGGTTTGGTGAGTCTGCCACAGTTAACCACCTCTAAACACAGTTTGTAAATATTTTCCTTATTTTCTTTTTAGCCTGAAAATCTGTTGTACTACAGTCAAGATGAGGAGTCCAAAATAATGATCAGTGACTTTGGACTGTCAAAAATGGAGGGCAAAGGAGATGTGATGTCCACGGCCTGCGGGACCCCCGGCTACGTTGGTGAGGACATTGTGTGTGTGTGTCCCTGCATGTCACCCTCATCGGTCCTCTTAAGCATTTGAGGCTGGCACATGATCACAGCTGTCTTCATTTCCCTTGAGGGAAGAATAAAAAGAGTGAGAGGCACTGGAACAAGCTGGAAGGGAAGCGATTCCTCTTGAAACCTTTTAAGAGTTGGTAGAAATCCTGTTTGGCTTGGATGTGGGCCTGACTGGAGGCCAGGAGTTGATTTGGATGAACTCCCAGCTTCTAATACCAGAAACATTGCATATATATATGTTTTCAAATGCTTTACAGTGAGACACTGAGATAACAATAAGGTGCAGACACAAATAAGACATTTAAAATGTTGAGTTAGAAGCAGCTGGAAAGACAATGTTGTCAGGAGGACTGTGGTTCGAACCTTAGTGAAGTCACTCTCTTGAACTAGCTAGCCTTGATCTGCACTAGAGAAGCCAAGAGTAAAAGTTTTCCTTAAAGTCAGAAGCCCAGGTTTTTTGTACTAAACATGGGGAATGCCAAGGAGGCTACTGACAGGTCTGAACACATGGATCCTGAGGTTCACCTTCTGTCTTCTGGGACCTAGAGAAAGGCATTGGAACTCTTTGTGAAGTTTTTGAGACTTTCATTTGCACAAATATACTCATTCATTCAGTAAATGTACATTAAAATACCTTCTGTGTACCAGGTGCTGTTCTAGGCACTGGGGTGATGACAGTGAATGAGACAGAGAGAGTGCCTGCCCTCACGTAGCTTACATTTTAGTTGGGAGCAACAGACAGTAAACAAAGAAACAAATAAATGAACAGAAAGTAAAACGGGGGTGATCCAGTAACAAAGGCGCAGAAGGATTGGGACTGGGTTAGAGGACAGGGAGGAGACTTGGGCAGGCAGCCATAGGAATATAGGGGACATAACATTCCAGGTAGAGGCATCAGCTTGTGCAAAAGTCCTAAGTGGGAGGAAGCTCAAGGAGAAGGTACAGGCTAGAATGTCTGAGAACAGGGTTAAAACTGAGGTTGGAAAAAGACTTTTAGAAAATGGAGATTGGCCGGTGTGGCTCAGCGGTTGAGCGTCAACCTAGGATCCAGGTGATGGGGGTTCGATTCCTGGTCAGGGCACATGCCCGGGTTGCGGGCTTGATCAATGACTCTCTTATCATTGATGTTTCTGTCTGTCTCTCCCTCTCCTTTCCTCTCTCCGAAATCAATAAAGATATATTTAAAAAAAAGAAAAAAAAGAAAATGGAGATTAAAGCTGAATTTTTGTCATGCAAACCATGATGTTCTTTTTTTTTTTTTTTAAATATATCGTTATTGATTTCAGAGAGTGGAAGGGAGAGAGAGAGAGAGAAACATCAATGGTGAGAGAGAGTCATTGATTGGCTGCCTCCTGCACACCCCCTACTGGGGATTGAGCCTGAAACCCAGGTATGTGCCCTGACTGGGAATCGAACCACGATCTCCTGAATCATAGGTTGATGCTCAACTGCTGAGCCATGCCGGCTGGGTGACAGCTGTTGCATTTTTAAAGGAACTCACTGGAGAGGAGAAAAGAGCAGGCTAAGGCGAAACAAGGAGGTTTAGAAGGAGGAGATAAAGGTGGTTCAAGTGCAGCAGGGGACGAGAAGGTGTGCTCAGGGCTGCTTGGCTCTCGACTGCTGCAGGTGAGGAGTGTGTCCCTGGGTTGGGTGTATGTACTAGACAGAGAACAGATTGTTCTGATCCTGTTTAAGAGGCCAGCATAGGCTTTGCTGGAAATAATGGCATAGCGAGCCATCTCTGTTCTAGGACAGTAATGTGATGGTTGCAGAAATAGGCTGGGTCTATCGGGGACTCTTGAAATTGTGGCTGTGTCACATATGTAAATGCATATGTATGCCTGGGAGGTGGGGACCGTGGGCAGAAGTGCAAGCACATGCGGTGCACATGTAGAATTCCTCCAGCTTCGTCCAAGCCATCAGGCAAGCAGCAAATAAAAACAAATGGACATGCTTATTCTCATCTCTCTTAGAAAATGGGGAGGCAGACAGCTTGTTCCAACCACAGACATTAGAAAATGAGGCCTGTGAGCTCATGGTGTCCAGGGTCCTTGCCAGGCTGGCTCTAGTACTTCAGCAGTCTGGTGCCCAGGCCACTCTGGGCGGAGAAGCTACAGGAGGTACATTGGCCGCCCAGTGTCTCCTTTCGGGAAGTAGGCTCTGGGGCTATGATTTAATGTTCTGACAAAGAATGTCCATGTTTACATATGCATCACACTATTCTCATATTTGGCTGAAGTTGGAAAGCTCTAGCACTTTCTAAATTGAGTTTTGCTGCTTTGCATCTTGGCAGAGCCCATGGAATAGCACTTTCTCTGGGCTTCTAAGTGGTTGCCATCGTTTGGCCTGTTTCTGTTTAGATATCAGATGCTGATGAGTCTGGGAACTGGGAACAATGTTTAGATGTGGCCCTTGTTCTCACTACCCTAAATGGAGGCAAGTGGAGCCATCGTGGATTCCCTTATCAGATATTGGGCTTTCCGTGAGTGGGGAGGGTAAGAAGAGACTTGTGGGAGTATAGCCATTCTGTTTCTTTGTGTTTAAGCACTGAGACTCCTGGAAGACCTTTTAGAACAAGGAAGGGGACACATTGGGAAGCTCGTGTCTGTGTAGCCAGACTCAGGCAGTGGGCTGTGTTCCTCCCCTGCAGCCTGCATTGCAAACTCCTGTTGAAAGCCGTGCTGAGGTGCTACCCCTTTGATTGCTTTCCCAGCATCATCCTCCCCTTTGTCGTCCTGGTTCTTTTCCTGACCCTTTCTCATCGGGGCTCTGATTACACTGCCTCAGGGTCCATATTTATTTGTGCCTCTTCCCTACCACGCTGGGGTTTTTTCTGGAGCAGGAACTATTTCTTATTCATCTTTGCACAGGTGCTTGTTGATTGACTAAAAGCCCCAAGGTTCAGAAAATTAGCAATTTTTTCTTTCCTCCCTTTCTATTCGTTCAGCCTGCATTTATTGAATTCCTGCTATGTGTCCTGCACAGTGGTTTGGTGTTAGGAATACAAGTATGAATAGGACAGAGTCTCTGGCCTCAAAATTCTCAGTCAGTGTTACTGTGAGGCATAGAGGGCAAACAGGTACATTCAGTAATGTACGGTAAGTGCTACATTATTCAACCATTCAATAATTATTTAGTGCCTACATTCTGTTCTAGGCACTGGGGATACAGCAGTAGAAAGAAAACAAACAGCTAAAGGTCCCCACCCCACCTTACACTTGAACAGGAGGGAGACAGATGATAAGCAAAGAGCTTTGTATGCTAATTAGTACCTTAGATGGTGATGAGTGCTCTGGAGAAAAATTAAGTAGGCAAGAGATTAGTAAGTGGGCTAGGCGCGCCTGTGTGTGTGTTTGTGTGTGTGTGTGTAGGTGGTTGTAGTTTTAAATATGGTGGTGAGGGCAGCTCTCACTAAGAAGGTGGTGATGCAATAAAGACTTGACGGAAGTGAAGGAGCTGGTCATACTGTTATTTGGAGGAAGAGCATTCCAAGGATGGTGCAAAGGCCCTGAGGCAGGAGAGAGTGGGGTGAGCAGAAAGGAGAACAGGGCAGATAAAGTCAAAGAAGTAATGGACAGGGCATGTGCAGACCAGGACTACAGGTCATTGTCAAAATTGTGGCTTTTACTCAGGGTGGCAGGAAGCCATTAGAAGGTTCTGAGATAAGGCATGATATGGCCTGATTTTTACCAGGATCCCTCTAAGGGACAGGCTAGCAGAGTGGAAGTGGTGAGAAGTTGTCAGATTCCACATATAATTTGAAAGTAGTACCATCAGGATTTGAAAACTTGAAAGAGAAATCCGGGGTAATTCCAAGGATTTTTGGCTTGAGCACCTGGAATAGCATAGTTGCTTTTGAGATGCCCATGAGAGAAGCAAGTTGCAGAAATATCAGTGGTTTGGGTTTTGGTTTGTTAAAGTTTGAAAGTTTGGGGAGGCAGCTGGAATATGAATGAGTCTGGAGTTCTGGAGAGAAATGCAGTCTGGAACTATACAGTCTATTCTCATTACACATGGTAGTTATATTCTATGAAGTCATCGTGAACACTGAGTTAGTTAATACTGAGCCACTCCTCTGAGGGGGAAAGACAGGTTTAGGGTCCTGCGGGCCTCTGATCACATTTTCAGCAACTGATTGATATGTAGCCTTGTTTTATGTGTGTTTCTGTTCAGCGACACCTTATTTAATATTATTGTTGATTCATTAACATTGAAGTCATGGCCAACAGCACATGACTCATGCCTGAACAAAACTTGTTGTACACATGTATTTTCTCCATAAGGCACATCCTGGCCTTCCTGTGCTTAAGAACCCTAGACAACACCTCAGCACCATACTTGGGGGCCTTTGAAACAGTGAAATGAACAAAACACACAACAGTGTGAAAAATGTGGACCCAACTAGACCACGAAAACAATACTTATTTACAGTGTGAGAGTCAAAACAAGAGGGCAGAGCGTTGCCGAGTTTGACCTCACCTGGGAATATGCACCTTGGCCAACTCAAAGTTTTGGCCACAAATGACCACAAAAGCATCACAAGTGTGGATTTGGGGGCTACAAATTTATTTTAGTGAGTAGGCAAATTCAAAAATATGGAATCCATGAGTAATGAGGATAGGCTGTATTTGGGAGCTGATAATATCTGGATGCATTTTAAAGCCATGAACCTGGATAAGATTGCCAGTCGGGTGGGTATAGATGGAGGAGAGGAAAGGCCCCAGGGCTGAGTCATGGGGACTCTGGGGTCCATGGAGTCAGCAGCAGGTGAAGTAAGAAGAGAACCAGGGGAGTGTGGCATCTGGAAAGTGCTTCAGTTTGGAGAAAGTACCAAGTGTCAGTTGTTGCTACTAAGTCAAGTAAGATAAAGACTGAGTGAGTATTGATCATTGGTTTGGGGGACCTTGAATTATGACTTAATTATGATTAACTAGGTCTGTGAGAGCCTGGCTGTTAGAGC